GCTGTATGCTTCGACATTGTCTGTGTCTATATGATGTGTTTGTATGTTGGAAATTCCTGGCTGCAAATCAAATTTCCCTCCTTGGGGGACAATAAAATAAACTGAACTGAACTGAACTGAACATCACTTTCACTTTTAAATTTTTACAGCTCTAAAAAAGTTCATGCCAAAAAATAGCGAGGGACTACTATTTAGACTTTGAGTGCAATAATGTGAATTTATAAGGGATTAACGTAGCAGAATATTAGGGAGATTATTAATAAATTGAAATTAAAATCAGTCCAGACCAGGTCATTAATTTATCTAATTTGTCATCTGACTTCTTTTTTTTGTGACCAAAAATGAAACTGCTAATAATCAAGAAAAAATAAATTATATTCAAATGTTTTATTATTGATTTATTTCTGGTTCTTATTTGTTAAAGGTATGGTGTAAATAATGCTTCAATTTTTTATAGTTGTATTGTTCCATAATGCCCTGGTGCATTAACACTTAACCTGACAAAAACTTTGTAATAACTTCTGGGAATAACACCCTGCTCAGTAAAAACCTGATATAAAGATGTCTGTCCCTCTGAGCACAGCTGTTCTTTATCACAGCTTGTCAGGATTACAGGAAATTGTGATTAATGTTGTGCTTTTACTTTGGTAATTGCTTCTTGGTTTTCAAAACATTTGAAAACCTGTACAATATTTTAAATGCATTTATGATTGTCATTATTTTAAAACAGAATGTGGGTTCAAACAGCCATGATAATGGCAAAATTTAACCCTTAAAAGTGAGTTTTAAAGGAGATTATAATAATTGATATGTCAGTGTAACGTCTGAGTTTTTAAAAATATATCTGTAATCTTTATTTATGCTGTCCTGTTGCATGCAATATTTTGATTGTTTGTTTAGAGGCTGTGAGGCTGTAAATGGTTAATATTTTCTTTTGCTTATCCATGTAGGGGGAAAAGTCATGGCCCTGCACTTGTATAACACATCCTCTGTTTTACAGTTTAATGGCTACAATCTGTCATATGAAAGTGTCATCCCTGCGTTTCTTTTTGCAACCCTCAACTACATGATCATACTTTTCTGTAACCTCACGCTGATTCTCACCATAGTGCTGAACAAATCTCTGCACCAGCCGATGCACCTCTTCCTGGTCAGCCTTCCTATCAATGACCTGATYGGTTCTTCAGCCTTCTTCTCACAGCTCATTAAGGAAATACTGACAAACAGCCAGATGATTTTATTTTCATCGTGCGTCACGCAGGCTTTCTTCATCCATATCTACGCAGCAGGTTCCGTCTTCATCCTGACTGCTATGGCGTATGATCGATACGTGGCCATATGCAAACCTTTGCATTACAGCACTGTCATGACTAAAGCTCACATCCTGAAAATAATCACAGCAGTGTGGTCATCCTGTCTGGTTTCAATAGGGCTGATTTTTATTCTTCTGTTGCGTTTGCGCTTCTGTCGATCTGAAATAACTCAGCCCTACTGTGACAACCCAAGTCTGTTGACACTGGTTTGTGAAGACACCACCATAAATAACATTTATGGTCTTTTTATAAGTGCTTTTACACAAGTGGTAGCTAATGCAACGGTTTTTTATACATACCTCCAGATCCTCCTTGCGTGTTTCAGAACCAAGCGGTCCGACACCAAAGCAAAAGCTCTGCAGACGTGTGGTACGCATCTGTTTGTGTTTCTGCTGTTTGAGTGTTTAGGCCTTTTTACCATCATATCGTACAGACTGAAGAATGTTTCTCCACATTTAAGACGATTCATGGGGGTGTCGACATTGATCTTCCCCCCAACATTAAATCCACTCATCTATGGACTGAAAACCAAAGAAATTCGTGAAAAAGTTTTGACCTTTTTTAGAAAAAAAGTGCTTCTGCCTCAATGCACCGTCTCCTAACCTGCATTAATGTTGCAAGTTAGAACATTTATGCTGAATTTGCTTCTTTGCAAAAATTGTCCTTATTTCTTTTACGATCTCATACCTGCTAACTTTGCCTTTCTTTTTAAATTAAAGCTATTGTTCATCACGTTTATGTGCATATGTTCTGAAAAGTTATTAGATCATAGAAAATATGAATAATTGTGCAACTGAACACCAAACAATTTCAAGAGTTTGCAAATATAAATCAAAATTTATTTTAATAAAATTGGATCTAAAAACTGATATTTTAAAGTAACTTTATTTACTTCTTATATCTTATTTGCTGGTTCTTTCGAGTAAAGTTGACAGTTTCCTTTTTAAGTTTTTAATAATATTTTAGACTCAAAATGAACTAAAAACGAAAGAAGAATATTATAATGTATTAAAAAGAAATGGACACAACAATGTAATACAG